AGGATGTCTTGCGGGGTCGATACCACCGAGAGAATGCGGACTGATAGACCGGTTAGGATCTATCAGCTGCCGACAGACAGACGATAGACAGGCTGCTGACAGGCTGCTGCACAGACAGACTGCCGACAGGCGGATGATAGACAGACCTGTTAGGATCTGCCCAACTGCCGATCAGGCGGAAAAGACAAACCAGATTGCTGCGCCCATGTAAGAATAGGTGGGAGAGAGTCGGGGAGAATGGTGAAGAGAGGATCTGCCGGGCGGTCAGTCCCGGATAAAGGATTAAGTCAATGCAACGTAAGGTCTGTGGATTTTGTGGAGAGTCCACGTAGGACATGTAGTATGCGTCAGTCCATTCTGTCTGACGTCCTGTCCGCCATGGCCTGTCTCATGGAACGGACAAAGACTCAACAGCCGTCCTGTCTCACAGATCAGTGGATCGTCGGTCTATGAACCCTAGACCCTAAACCCTGGACCGACTTGCACTTCTGACACATGCATCGAAAGCTCGCCTTTAAGCTCGCAAGTAGGATGAGTGTTGCGGCGTGGTTTTGACACAGGCGACGAGCCAGATGAGCCAGACGGCCTGTGTGGTCGACCTCTCTCTTCCTCGTACAAGGTCCCACTCGCCTGCCCGATGGCAAATCCACATGGTGGCTGACCATCTGGCTGCGTCCGTCGCTGGTGTCGCTTGCATGAGATCTCTACGTGCATCAGGTGTGCCGTCACACGCGAGCACACACACACACACATCCATAAACACAGCACCCTCCCTCACTCTCCTTGTCTGTCTGTCTGTCTGTCTGGATGGTCAGTCAGGCGATCGATCTCTGCCTGGTCGAGAAGACAGGATTTGTCGCCCGGACGACCACCATACGTCTAAGCAAAAGACAATCCCAGTAGGCAGGCCTTAAGAAGGCTTTCATCCATCCCGTGCGTGTGGTGCTCTGTGCATGCCTGTCTGCTGCAGGTAATAAATCCACCCTTGCCCCTCCTCTCCTACCATTACATAAGAATCAGGCGACTTCGGTCGTAACTTCCAGGAGATAAGAACACCGTCAAGTGGCTGCGCACTCTATAAGAACACCCTCAAGTGGCTGCGCACTCCAAGTTAAGAAGGCTTATGGTAAACGGCCCCACTCGCTTGTCCGATGGCAAAGAATGGCAAAGCCAGGTAAACAAGGGCAAACAGAGAGGCATCGTAGCTTCCACATGACGACCATCTGGCTGTGTGCGTCGCTGATGTCGCTTGTATGAGATCTCTACGTGCATCAGGTGTGCCGTCACCAACGACGGTGAAAAAGCCGTGGCCTCAGTGGTCAGGGTCGTTAGCGCGAATCGACATCAGGTAAGGTACCATGTGTATACACACGACACTCACACACACACACACACACACACACACATCTCCCAC